TTGCGGCGAATGTCAAAGCAAAAGCCGTAATAAACACGTGAGAGCAGTGGTGTATAGGGTTGCCGCTTCCTAGTTTTTTTGGAACCAAAAATGTAGCAACCCAATAAGCACTAAAACAATATTTCTCCAACCTTGGAGAAATTCATAGTTCTCAAGTTAATATCCAACGTCATTCCCCAACTCACCTCTAACCGACGCGCAGATACGTAAAAAGTGTTAGGGAAACGAATTTTTAATTACCAAGTGAAAAACTAAAGCTATATGAAGAGGAAAATTACCAACAAAAAGTAAATAATCTTCAGAGTATCCTCAAATAATCTGGAAAGAAAATAGAACGCGCAGTGAATCAAGTGGAAAAATGACTGTCGGACTGTATCCTGAAGTGAATTATTGTAATACGATTTTGCTTAACTACATCATACAAAAGGAGTAATAAAATGAAAAATTAATATTTAAATTCATCTATGTATGTCGTTTCAATCAAAAAGGTATAAGGTATTTTACTATTTCAATTTCAGTATTTCAATGATATGTATGAGACCAATTGGAGAATTACACTGGACTTCAAGTTGAGAACTACAATTTTCTCAACTTGAGAAACAGTCCCTTTTTCATACAAAGAAAAATGCCCTTTTTGTTGAGAACGCTATGATCCTCCACTTGAGGTACTGTTGGAGCACTTTGATGTCTTGAAATAAGCATTTGCCGCATGACGCCACCAGATAACATTCTCTCAATTTCGGTGTTTAAAACCATTTAAATCTTCTGCTGAATAATTTCCTAAAACTTAATCATAAATAATCCAATAGGGAACAGATTTTTATTTTGATTTAATATCAATCTGAAGTCGCTCTAAATTTCTTTAATTTTTGGTAATTTTTCTGCTGACGGTGTGACGCAGTTTCTTCTATACAAAGTATGTATGCTCGAAACTTTTTTATGGAAGAAATGGCACTTTATTAATTATGAAGCATGCTCAGAATAGGATGCTATTCTATCATTCTTGGATAGTGGCCAACGGCAGTGTTGCCAACTTTTGATTTCAAAAAGGCACCAAAAACTTGGAAGAAAGGCGTTTTACCAAACTAAAAGCACATTTTTTTTTTAATCAAAGGATGCTTTTTTCATAACCGTTTGTATTTAACAAAAGAAAAAATTAAATTTAACATAAGCAATTAATTACAAGAATACATACATAAATCAATACACAAAAGGTTTTCCCTCATAACGATTGAATAGCCTCAACACATGACTCATGCTTACGACATAATACCGATGTAATATTAAAACTACTATATCTCGAGAAAGAAAAATCGAATCGCAACACACGAAAATAATACCCTAAGTAGAAATGAGCAAAAAATTTGATGTTTTCATTATATAACCTCAAATATCGCAAAAACCCGTGTTTGGCAATCTGGGGGTAGGATATCTAAAAATTCTAGTACTAGAGCAATTGTTCGGCCAGATTTGGATTCAGCACCATTCAGGTGGTAAAAAAAAATCAAAATTTGTACAAACAATTAGGAAATAAAAAAAGAAATCCTTATCTTACCTGCGTACTAGCATTTTCAACGTGACTAGAATTCAACAAGGAGGGTTTGCAACTTCAGCTTTTTATCAATCATGGTTGTATTTTAGTGCATTTAAATTTGTATATTCTTGTAAATTCGGCATCTTCATGAGACTTCAGGTTTTAACTATCTCGGAGTAATATTAGTTCAAAAAAAGCACTAAAACAGGCACTAGGCACTAAGTCTTTTTTTTTGGCCTTTTAATCTTCAAACAGCACTAAATCTAGTGCTTAAAGCACCAAGTTGGCAATTGTGGCCACCGGCACTTCGATAGTGCAAAAAATAAAACCATCCGATACTATCGATACTACCATCGATAGTTTTACAGCTGTAAATCCTATCGCAAAGTAATGGACAAGATTACTTGTTTACAATTCACTTAATTTGTTTTTATTTGTTTGGGGGCCGCGGTGTTAAAATTTTTATTAATTTTATAGTTGAATTAGGGAATAATAATGTCCGACGACGATACCATTCATCCCTTAAGCGATTCTGAACATATTGCAGATTTTGACGACCACGTAGATGAGGAAGAGTTAATAACTGCACAAAAGGTAATACGTAACGTGCGCATAATAAAATCTTGAACTTCTGAACCCTTGCTTTCCCTCATAGGTACTAGAAATTGTAGAAACCGCATGGCAAAATGAATTATGTGCACCAGAAATTCTTCAACACCAAACCGACATGATGGAGCTGATGCTCGGTCAAGTCGCACACATGGAGGAAAATATGAAGGATTTAGATAAGAACGATTTTCGTTTCATTGTGCATCAAATGGAATTAGAACGCATACGCTATGTGATGGCCAGTTACCTACGTTGTCGATTGCAAAAGATAGAAACTTACACGCGACATATAATAAATGAGGAAGAGGCGCGAGATGTGTCTGAAAAAAGATTATCGCCGGAAGAGGCCAAATACGCGCAAGAGTATGCCGAAAATGTGGAGCAATACTTCCAGCAAGTGGCGTTGCAGTACATGCCCAATATGCAGCGTTCAGAGGCGGATCAACGAATAGTTCGTCCAAACCTAATGAGTCATGTTTTCATCAAAGCGAATGTGGCGGGTAAGAGCAATAAGTGAGCTTCAAATTAGTATTGAAAATATCGTCCTTTTCATACATTCCTAGTGCCTGCTGTTGTGGTTGGCGTCGATGACGAGGAGGTGGATCTAACTGCTGGCTCGCAGCACATAATACCCTACCAACTGGTATCCGATTTAATTCATAAAAATCAAGCGCAGCTAATTTAGAAGTAGTGTCTACCTGTAATAGATAGCATAAGTACAAGTATAGATGATTTAAATTAAGCTTATTTTATTCCGTATTCAAACGAGCTAAATTGCACTAATCCATTGTCAATGGCTTCAAAGGTTCAGTATCACTTCTGGCACCATTTCCGGCAGCATTTTGGGCAAGTGTATTAAACATAACACGCTTACGTGTTTGTGGCAATGGTACTGCTGTTCTAGGCGTAGCATGCACTTCTACAGTCGTTGGTTGTTGATCGCTTAAGATGGTATGGTCGAATCTCGGTTGCC